GTGTGTGTGTGTGTGTGTGTGTGTGTGTGTGTGTACGTTCATGCATGTGTGTGTGTGTGTGTGCGCGCGCGTGTGTATGTGTGTGCGTGCGTGCGCTCGCGTGCGCGCATGCGTTTTTGGTGTGCGCGCGCGCGGTGTGCGTGTGTGTGTGTGTGAGTGCGCGCGCGCGTGGGCGCATGTAACGGTGTGTATAGCTGTATGTAACGGTGTGTATGTAACGGTGTGTATAGCTGTATGTAACGGTGTGTATAGCTGTGTGTAACGGTGTGTATAGCTGTGTGTAACGGTGTGTATAGCTGTGTGTAACGGTGTGTATGTAACGGTGTGTATAGCTGTGTGTAACATTGTGTCACAGGTTTACTACGGGTCCATCCAAGAACGGACGTTTCATCACTTCCATCAATGACGTCATGTACAACACGGTGAAGCATTTCTATTGGCTGATATTCCACACAGTCAACGATAACATGATGTCACGATTATCCGAGCAGAGTGAGTGTATTACTATATAGTTATACTACTGTAGGATGTATTAGAATATTGTAGCATAGTTGTAATAATGTAGTATAGTTCTAATGTATTATACAGTTGAAATGTAGTATAATTGTAATACTCTAGCTGCGTAGCATAACTTTAATGTATTAGACAGTTGTAACATTGTAGTATAGTTGTAATACTGTAGCAGAGTTGTAATGTATCACATTGCTGTAAAATGGTTGTGCAGTTGTAATACTGTACTATAGTGTTGTGGTGATGTATAGTATTATATAGTTGTAACATAGTAGTACATAGTTATAACGCTGCGGTGCATGTATAGCTGTAACATTGTAGTGTAGTTGTAATACTGCAGCGTATTTGTGATGTATTATACAGTTGTAATAATATAGTGCATATTTATGGGGCCGCCGTACATGTATATGTAGTTGTGACCAGCTTGTGTTCGGCATATTTCAGGTATTGATGACATCATACCTGGCCACCTCGAGCACCTCGTCATCAGATACGTCATGTACGGCCGCCCGCTGCAGATGGATTAATGAGCGCACCTGTGTTGGCGTACCTGCACACACACATGCACGCGCGCGCACGCACACACATACAGCTATACACACCGTTACATACAGCTATACACACCGTTACATACAGCTATACACACCGTTACATACAGCTATACACACCGTTACATACACANGCACACACACACACGCACGCACGAACGCACACACACACACACACACACACACGCGTCGTTACAATCACTTAATTAATACCTGCCAGCGCGTACTATACGACATGAATCAACGACCATCCCCGTGCTGAAAACAAATACAATACTAGGAAGCACAGATATCTCACAATAAATTTATATCTAGTAGACTGTATGTAGATATCTATGTATTAGAATGTGACTCTGTGTTACTAGCATTTACCTCCAACGCTTCAGCTGAGGCCGATATTTTTAGCTTTAATTTTAGTTATTTTTAAATCCTATTACCGTCCGTTGTATTGTTGCACTTCAAGCACCGTGGGCCAGCCTATAGTTCATCTACAAGTGATATGAATAAGCGGACGTTAACTAGTGACAATGTGTTTACGTGTAGTCGGATCGCGTAGTATATGATATCAGAAAATAAATAAAAACAAATTGATGTTTTTATTCCCTCCTGAATATATCCATCCATATACGCGCTCTGGCGTCTGCTACTTTAGCACGTCGCGATACCACGGCGCCACCTAGGGTGAGAACGGAGAGTTTTTAGAAAGGTTTTCATTAACAATAATCTCGGGTTTGCATTTTTCACAACGTTTAGTAGGTTAGTAGTAACTACGTTATTATTATATACCGCGTATTTGTAATGAATCAGTGGCGATAAACAGTGTGCTGAGATAGGTATGCATATTACGAAATCATGACAGATAGCAATTATCGTCTAGATAGAGACACAAATAACATGTCTGCATATTATACAACATATATGCCACGTGCGTGTGTCTGTCTGTCTGTTGCCACGCCTATGCCATTACGATGTCGTAATATGTTTTGGACAGTAATTCATAAAGTGTTGATAAATGAGAAACACAGAGAAAGTGGGTAGACAGAGAGAAAGAGAGACACAGAGCTTATTTCTAGGGTAGGAACATCTTATTTTTTGTAACCGCGCTCAGAATTACAAGAGTGTGCGCTGGCGGCTCCGTAAATTCCATTCACAATCGATTTGATTTCTTAATTTTTACTTCTGTTTTCGACATTTCTTGAATATGAGAAATTAATCCGCGATAAAAAATTCCAGTTTCTGTGATGTCGGCAAGTCACACATTATTACAACCAATGAGAATTGCTTGAAGTGTTGCTATGGTTGCTATGGCCTATATTGTTATGTAATCTTTGATTATGTCTTGCTAATCGATTACGCTATCGTTTACTTTTGCATAAATGGCCTAAAGATTTAAGTACTAATCTTTATTATAATAATTGTTATTATTATCAGTATGATTCTAATTACCTCCGCCAAGGAGGTTATGTTTTTCGCCCCCTAAGTTTGTTTGTCTGCCAACAGGATATCTCAAAAAGTTACGGACGGATTTTGATGAAATGTTTTGAAAAATAAAAATTTGATTTTTTGAACAGGTTGGTCTTGGGCCAAGAACCAATCGATTAGATTTTGGTGGTGATCCGGATCCAGGATTTTTTTCCCAGTACCAGCAAGATGGGGGGGGGCTGTTAAGCTGTGGCGGAGGTTTGCTATCTCTGATTGTTCTTATTGTTATTGTTATTATTATCAGTACGATTCTTATTGTTATTGTTATTATTATTACGCTTTACATTTTTTACTTATTCTTGATCTCCGGTTCATAAAATAAAAGCATATATTATTAGTTACCGTCGTCATCTGTGAAATCTGTGTGCCGCTAATAATGAATCGAAAGTAAAACGAATCCATCGAAAAATAACGCATTGGTGAAACTCACTCGCTCATATCCTCACTCAGACACGCATTTATTATACAAACATATTTACAGCTATACGACTGCTCGCGACCGCGTTTGCATTCACACCCACCAGGTGGCGACGTGCGCAACATCGCTCAGTCTCGAGAGAAATCACATTTATTCACGTGGGACTTGATTATTAAAAATGCAGGAGACGGTATGTGCTTTTTTTATGAATGTATTACCGATACCGACTAAAAAAAATTGAATGAAAAAAAAAGAGGATGAAATGACAGCCAAGAATCTCGCAACACAATGTTGACCTGATGCAGAGATAGATGGCGCCACCGTCTTCAGATCGCGACGTCGTTCACCTGCAGAGATAGATGGCGCTAGCATCTTCAGATCGCACGACCATCCTGACATCTGGCTAGATGGCGCCACTCTCGCCCGGAGTCGCGCTGACGACGACGCTTCATGCGCCGGTTCTCGCCGCCGCCGACCGTCCCACGGTGGCGCCCCCTCACGGGCGCAGCGGCGCCATGCCGAGTCGTGCGCGAAGTTCGTTAGCTTCCTGGATGTCGGGAGCGATCCCCCTGCTGCTGCCGCCGCCGCCGCGACGGTCCCTCTCCCGGGACCGCTCCCGCTTCATCTTCCTGCCGCCGACGCCGCCGCCACCGCCACCGCCGCCTCGCTTCCTGGAATGCAAAGGATGGTCACCACCAGGGGGCGTACGTGCGCGCGAGGTCAACCGTCGAAATATGCGGGAAGATGCGCGCGATCGCAGAAAGAGAACGACAGAGAGAATGTGAGGAGGCCGGAGGAGAGGAGGGTGTGGGAAGGTGAGAGGAGAGAGGGAGAGGAAAGGGGGAGAGAGTGAGAGCAAGAGAGAAAGAGTGAGAGAGAAGGGAGAAGGGGGGAGAGTGAGCGCAAAAGAGAAAGCAAGAGAGAACGAGGGAAATAAAGAGAAGGGAAAGGGAGAGAGAGAGAGAGAGAGAGAGAGAGAGAGGGGGGAGAGAGAGAGAGGAGAGGAGAAGGGGGGAGAGTATTAGAGAGAAAGAGAGGATAAATAGAGAGAGAGGCAAACACAGTTATAGACAGATAGATTGACAGAGAGAGAGAGAGAAGAGAAAGAGAGAGGGAGAGAAAGAGAGAGAGAGAGAGAGAGAGAGATAGAGATAGAAAGAAAGCAAGAGAGAGAAAGAAAGAGAGAGAGATAGATAGAGAGAGAGAGAGAGAGAGAGAGAGAGACAGAGAGAGAGAGAGAGAGAGAGAGAGAG